AATGTAACTGAGTATAAAACATTCACTGATCAGGTTTCAGATTTCATATCGCAACTAACCTTTTTTAAGAAACTACCATTTGTTGAATAGTATAGCATTAATGAAAAAAGAATCCAAAATTCCCTGAAAAGGCTATTAAAACACTTCCTGGCCACACATGGTGGCTCATACCTGTAATCCCAACACTTTGGGAGGCTGAGGCAGGCGGAGCACTTGAGGTCAGGAGTTTGAGACCAGTCTGGCCAACATGGTGAAACCCTGTCTCTAACAAAAACACAAAAATTACCCGGGTGTGGTGGTGTGTGCCTGTAATTCCAGCTACTCAGGAGGCTGAGGCAGGAGAATGGCTTGAACCTGGGAGGCAGAGGTTATAGTGAGCTGAGACTGCACCACTGCCCTCAAGCCTGGGAGACAAAGCGAGACGTCATCTCAAAAAAAAAAAAAAAAAAAAAAAAAGACACTTCCTTTTCCAACTACATATCTAGATAATGCTGGATTTTTTTCACATTCTTCGGCCAAAACAAAAACTACCACAACAAATTGAATGTAGAAGTAGATATGAGAATTCTTCCCCTATGAAGTTAGACATTAAGGAGATTTGCAAAAATGTAAAACAATGCCTTTCTTCTCACTAAACATTTTTATTTTGAAAAATGCAATTTACCATAAAAATATTACTTATAATAATACATAATGGGTTTTTCGTTGTTTTTTTAAATAAATTACTAAGTATTTTTAATTTTCTCTATTTGAATTTCTAATATGGCAGTTATCAAGAGAATTAACCCCACACAAACAAAAGCTCTTCGAACTCTTAATAACGTTTGGAATGCAGAGTCCAAGGCACACAGGCCTGGGCGTGTCCACGGCAGAGGTCGTGTCTCTGCTCTGGGCAGCTCTTGATCTTCCTGCACGGGACTGGCTTCTGTGATCGCACCTTGCCAGGGCAGGAAAGCCTGCACTCCTAGCCATGAGGCGGCCTGACAATTCCCTCCAGTTCACTAGCGTCAGCCAGTGGAGTCAGCGCTGTTCACTCCTGGAGGACCTCGCTGCTGCTCTTAAGGAGTCCCACAATGTGTGTTAAACAATCTTTGTTTAATACCGCGGATACGGTTTGGATCTGTGTCCCCACCCAAATCTCATGTTCAGTTGTAATTCCCCGTGCTGGAGGCGGGGCCTGGCTGGAGGTGACCGGATCATGGTGGGGGGGGGCAGTTTCTAATGGGTTAGCACCATCCCTGCTAGCGCTGCATCAGGAGACCTGGTTGTTTAAAAGTGTGTGGCACCTCCCCCAACCCCTCCCTCCTGCTCCGGCCACGTAAGACGCACCAGCTTCCCCTTCACCTTCTGCCATGATTGAAAGTTTCCTGAAGCCTCCTCAGCTATGATTCCTGTACAGCTTGTGGAACAGTGAGCCAATTACACCTCTTTCTCTATAAATTACCCAGTCTCAGGTACTTCTTTAAGCAGTGCAAGAACAGACCAATTACCTAACGTTTCCAGGCATTTGTCGGGAGAAGAGTGGTTTGCTCTTTTTCCTAGTTTGCCGTCTATCTGAGGGCTAAAAGCCTCCTCTCCCAGCACTCTGTCCCTCGCCTCCATCAGCTGTCCTCTACCCCCCGCTCCATCCCACCAGGCTCTGAGCTTCTTGGGGACAGAGGGGTGATAATGATTCACACCCCAAAGTCTTCCGCCTCTCTGAGCACCTGTAGAGGGCAGGTGCTTCACACATTCTGGCCAAAATGACAAGGTTGATGAATTACTGAAAACAAGTAGAATATGGAATCTCAAATTGAGGCTCCAAGGTGAGTCAAAAACATAGTTAGGACTATTCAGGACATCCAAAGATTAAAAAAAAAAAAAAAAGATGTGGTTTCTGCCCTCTAGAACTTCCCCTGCAAATGGAACTCACTTCTATGTATTTCAGCCAGGAAAGGTCATAGAGCAGCCAACGTGGGTTTTAACACAAGCCATGTCACCTGGGCAATGGGCCTCATCTCTCTTGGTCTCAGCCTTGTGTGCTGGGTGTAACCGAGCTCCAACCTGTCCCGGGAATGCCCACGCCAGGAAGCACCATCACGGTGGAGACACTGTTAGTTCCTCACATTCATTCCCATGGTGACTACCCACCAATCACAGAAACTGTGGGGCTAGAGGCCCTTTAAGATCCTCTTCCGGGTGAGGAGGAGCCCCTGGCACACAGTTCCAGTTCAGCGGCTCCACTGAAGCCTCTGCAGCAATGGCGTGGACGGCTGCCACAGAGCTGATGAATAAACACGCCCGTGAAAGAGCACTGGGAACGACCGGCGGAGGCCAGGCTGAGCGCGCACTTCAGAAAACCAAGAGAGCGTTTCCCCAAGGGGTTCAATCAGGGTGAAGACGTGATGAAAAGGTTGCTTGAGGAAGATGGTTCCAGCAGTTTCAGGAAGAATGAAATGCAGATAGTAAGACCAAGAGTAGGGAAAGGAGCTAAGAGGCAGAAGCGGCCAGGTCCTCCGGGAGCGGACACGCCGGTCCGCATGTTGCCTTGGTTTTAAGTGAGTACATGGCCTCATACTTCTCTGAACTTAAAACAGCGGCAGTGCTTGTAAACACTGAACAGTCCCCAGGAGGAGCTCTGCTCGGGCGGCCTTATCTACGGGAATCACAGCTGAGCTGCCAAGTCCCCTGGATGGTGGGCACTGACATCCCTCAACTCTTGCTCCTGGGAGGATCACGTGGAATCCGTCGTGGCAGGTGAGAGAAAGATAAACAGCTGCCACGGGACGGCGATGTGCCATAAACACACACGCCAGGAAAGCATGATCCCTTACACTCATCCGCCCTGCCAATAAACCATTTCATCAGGCTACAAATCTCAGGTGAAAAATGAAAAGCCAGCATCGATTTCATTGTACAGTGGATTTTATTTACAAATAGAGGCCAGATAATCTTGTATTTAAATGGCACAAGTCCCATCACTCACCATCAGAGAAGTGACATTTGAAATTTATAAAGTTTTGGCCGGGCGCGGTGGCTCAAGCCTGTAATCCCAGCACTTTGGGAGGCCGAGACGGGTGGATCACGAGGTCAAGAGATCGAGACCATCCTGACTAACATGGTGAAACCCCGTCTCTACTAAGAAATACAAAAAAACTAGCCGGGCGAGGTGGCAGGCGCCTGTAGTCCCAACTACTCGGGAGGCTGAGGCAGGAGAATGGCGTGAACCCGGGAGGCGGAGCTTGCAGTGAGCTGAGATCTGGCCACTGCACTCCAGCCTGGGCGACAGAGCGAGACTCTGTCTCAAAAAAAAAAAAAAAAAGAAATTTATAAAGTTTTACATTATGATTCAATCCTTTTTCTAAGAGGGCAAAAAGCCGAAAGGTCTAGGAGAAAGAATAAAATGTACGAAAATATTAGCAAAGGAGGGGAAATGATAAATTGGTGCTTGGGCCAAAATATGTCTCTAGTGGGCACATTTTTCTTTACAAGGAACAAAGTAAGTCACGAGGAGTCTGGACCAGCCAATAGATGCAAGGTTTCCATTCTCCAACTGTACGACAGACTTCTACTTTCTCCTTTTTCATTCCTACATTATGAAAAGTAACAGCAAAAACCACGTATCTTTCCTTAACAGAACCTTTCAGCTAATATATTCAAACTAAACCTGGAGTCTAAACCTTAGACCACAGGCTATAAAAGCCATATTCTGACGATTTCGAATCAAGTAGATGAGCTGAGACCTCTTCACTTAGGGGTATCAGGAACAACCTTTACCGCAATGGCTCAGGAAAAGTCAAGCCCTGCTAGGCAATGCAGATGACAAGTGGCATCCCCGCCTCTCTCAGATGAGGGCCCCCTTTGAGCCGGGATAACAAGGATGCTGGTAGAACATGCAGAACCTCCCAGGAGGCCCAGCTCTCAGCAGAGGGCCACCTACCTGTGAACACCTGTGACGGCCTTGGCATCTCGTTCCTCAGAAAACGATTATCCACCCAAACCGTGCTCTGGGCTTTCACCTTCCCCTGCCTGACAAGTCCTGCCTGCTCTGTCAGCAAAATTCACTGTCCCATGAAATCTACTATTTCCCACCTTTGGGGTCGAGTGCCTTCTGTCCCCTCATGCCATACTTACCCGTCTACCCTCCGCCCCCAGTGAGCTTCCGGAGCAGGCCTCACCCTTACTGGCCACTATTCCCAGGTGTGGAGCACAGCACCTCACAGGAAGCAGGTGTCTAGAAAGGATGTGCCAGCCTCAGATAAACTAAGACGCCCACACCCGCTCCAGGGCCTGTCCATCCCCCTCAGTCATTCCTCTGTAGTATCAGCTGGCTCCAGTCCTCATTCCTGACTCGCCTACCAACAAGGCCCTTCCCAGGCACTGTGTGGAATTCCGCCCCTACGCCGTTCCACAGGATCGGCCCTGTCACTGGGAGACCTGTGGCTTTTCTACAAAAATGTCAGCCACTAACCCTAGTTAGTCTCTGCAGAGACCCGCAGAGTCCCCACTGTGGTGCAGGGGACTCCTACCAGCTCATGTTGCTCTCCGGGAGCAGGCACGGCTGCAGCGCCCCACGCACGTGGAGCCCTGGCCACCAATACTTCAGGACCAGGGCTCACAGCCTGGTGTCAGAGACCAGGAGCTGCGGCCCCCGATCTGAGGCCCTTTAAGGGGGATCTCTCTTAGGACAGCCAGCCACACACACGCAGCTACCGTGAGCCTGTGCCCCATTTGGTGGTGGTGGCTACAGTCTGCAGGCAGCAGGGGATGAGACTCTGCACCTCCCTTCCTGCCGGGCCCTCAGCAGGACACAGTGACCGTGCCCAGAATGAGGGGCACACACACTGTGTCTCACGCTTCGTCAGCCCGGAGGGGTTTGTGCTATTCCAGATGTAGGAAAGTGAGGCTTCAGGAGAGACTGCACGGCCACGCTGAGACTCAGGAGCAGCCCAAGGCCTCAAGCTCTCTTCACCGCACGGGCTGTGGACGTGGGCTGTGTCCCTGTGGGCGCGGGCGCTCACCTGAATGCCGTCCAGCAGCTTGCTCATGCACCAGTAGGTGTCGGCTTCAATGTTGCGCAGCACCTCTGCGGGCACGCCGGAGACGTCCACCGTGTCCACCTCCTCTGCCTCTGGGCGGCGCCGAGCATGCAAAAGACAAGGAGACTTAGCCACACGGGACCTTTACTCACGAGGAGGCCCACGGAGGAAGAGAGCTGAGCCCACATCCAGCTCCCCCCACGCACTCTCATCAGTCTAGCTAAATGACTCATGCAGCCTTCCACCTCATCACTTACTGCTTCTCAATCTTAACACCTAATTAGTTGCAGATAATTAATATTCTGAATCCTCTACAATTAATTAACATAATTAATACATTATAAATTATTGCTTCTCAGGCATTTCACATTCTAATAAGAGAGAAAACAGAATATATTACTTAATCCTAACAGATCTGAAAGTTTTTTCAGAAGATTTTGAAAACTCTGCTTCTGATATATTTACATATTCATTTGGCAATCATTCCTCTAAAAACCTCTTTCCAAAGTTAGAGTTTCCCAAACTACACTGGGTAAATACTTCTATGCTAGGATCGAAAACCCCAGAAAGCCGTAACACAGATGTGCTTCAAAGATAGAATGGACAATGGTGCTCTAAATAATTTCCTTCTTAAAGTACAAAAAACCTAATGAGAAAACATAATCTAAAAGTTTTTAAAATGCAAAACAGATGCCTAATTGAAACAGCTTATCAGATATTTGAACAAACTAATTTTAGATCCTTACAAAACTGCTGTCATCCAGCAAAATACTCATAAATGTTTTAAAAATTATCTACCCTATTTTTAATTTTTTTTTTTCACTTTAGTTTTATTTGCATGGCATCTTTGCAAGGAAAATGTTCTTTAAGAAAAGAAACATTTCAGCCCAGAATATATTTAGAAAGGTTTAAGCAGATAAACATCACAATCATGATAGGGATGTTAACGCTGCCGGTGTTGGCCGGGGGCTGCTGATGCGCCAGGCCCTCTCCTGCGCGCTGTGAACGTGCGCGCTCATTTCAGCTGTCACCACTCTGCTGTCACCACCCTTGAGCCCTGACAACAGTGGGGTAAAGAGGGGCAGGGCCGTGGCTATGCCAAGCAGCCTGGTACACACCGGGAGGAGGGTACTAGATGCAGTGCCACCTACTGGTCCCAGAACCCAGGTCCCTAAGTGCTCCCCGAGGACCCAGAGGCCCACCTCACATTCGTGTTGCATACAGTCCTATCCCATCGCGCTGCTTCCCAGCTGCGGCCCTGCACAATGGCTAACTCACACTGAAGCTCTGCACAATTGCTAACTCACACTGAAGTGTGACTGGAAGAGACGAGGTGACACGCCACCTCCCACGGTTCTTGGTTCACCCCAGAACCAGCAGGATAAAAGGGGAAGAGCGCCTCCGTGTCTGACCCTCCAGCAGGAGCGAGCAGCTGGGCGCTTGAGGGTCTGGACAGGGAGGTGACAGCCCGGGACACATCCAACATGGCGGGGCCTGTGGGAACACGAGAGGGTGGGCGGATTCCAGCCAGTTCGCGCATCACTCCTCTCTCTGGGGTGGTGGCGGTGGATCCTCAGTCACTCCATGGGTACTGCTTTGATTGGGTCCTGGGTTTTGTAAACTGAGAGATAATTCAACCGCCATAAAATCCACTCTTTAGCGTGTGAGACGCAGTGGTCTTTAGTAGGGTCACAAGGCTGCACAAACGTCACCACTAGTTCCAGAGCCTTTCCGTCCCCACAGAAAGAAACGCTGGACCCTTTAGCGGCCGGTCCCCACTCCCCACCCCGCGCCTGGCAACCACGAACCTGCCTGTCTCTATGGAGTTGCCTATGCTGGACATTTCACACTGCTGGAATGAGGCTCTGCGGCCCTCTGTGACCGGCTCCTTCTCACTGAGCACGATGTTCTCCAGTCATCCACGTGGCAGCCTGTGTCAGTGCCTCACTCCTCTTCACGATAGAGCCGCGCCCCCTACGGCCACGCCACCCCTCTACGGCCAGGCCACGCCGCGTCTCTGCATGCCTCAGCTGGTAGACCCTGGGCTGTCTCCACTAAGGGGTAACGTGGACACAGAGCAGGTCCCCTGTGTGGGATCCGTCCCCGTACACCAGGCACCAGGCACAGACATGAGTGACAGATTCAACGCTCTCAAGATGCTCATGAATTAAAGGGGAAAACAAGAGACTTTAAAGATTGAAAACATCCATGTTAGGCGTCAGTGTCACCCAGTGGCATGGAGAAATGTATGGGTTCCTCCTGGGACCTGGCATGCGAAGGACACCGTTGTCCACAGTATACTGGGCGCTCCCAGGCCCTCACTCTCTTGGCCTGTGTTTTCACCCCAGAAGGCAGGTCCCAGTCCCCCGTTCCCTCAAATGTGGGGCTAGGATGACAAGTGCTGCTGGCTGACCATGGCTCCGTCCCCGGACCCTCCTCCCAGGCAGGTGTGTCCATGACACTGGCACTCTCCTGGGGGCTCTGTCCACCCACCGGCCCCCTGCAGGGCTGCAGGCTCTCCCTCCAGCAAGTGGCAAGGTGTCTGGCCTTAAAACTCTGCTGGCCCAGGAGCCCGGGTTGATGTGAGCACACTGTCTGATGAAGCCCTCACAGGGACTCCCAGGGAAAGGCCCTGTCTCCCAATTTCCCACGGCAGCCCAAGGTGGGAGGTGTTATTTCCACCGGTCCACAGATGCAGAAACTTAGGCCTCCACACGCTGATCAGTGTGCTTTGTGAGGCAATGGCGGGAGTGAGCAGGACAGGCCTGCCTGGACTCCAAGTCCGGCCCCCTTGTAACGCCTTTCCTACTGGAAGGAACGCCAGCAAAAGCCAAGCATGTAGACAGGCATGTGAGTGGTCTCCCCAGGGCCCCAATTCCTCCCTGGGAAAACAGTCTGGGCAGAATCAACTCAACATTCTGCCGGCCTAGAGCAGGTCTGATTTTTATTGCATCTCAGGGAACTGAATCAGCAACAATAATCAGCGGGCTTCCTCGGAGAGGTTTCCCATCGACCTATCCTCTTTCAAGGGCCTTCCAAGCACAGAGACATTTCCTCAGGGATAATAAGAGTAAACAGGGAACCGAGGCCTCTCCAGACCTCCACAGCCTCTCCCCGAGGGCACAGACGCAGCTGGGCTGTTGCAGCTCTGATTCGCAGAGCCAGGGGTGCGTGAGCCAGGCAGGCCTCGCTCTCTGGGTCTGTTTAGCTGGCTTGTTATTTTATCTGAGGAAATGTCAGTGGCCTATTCTAGGTGTCATTTCTCACAATGGGCCATTTGTTACTCTTCAAGGTAATGAAGTAACGGCATTTAACTCAGAGAGGCCCCCGCGGCGATTTGTCTTCTACACGCCAGGAGAATTGGAATTACCCTTATTGTTAGAATGAGATAAATATCCCCCGCCACAGAAAGCATCCCCCACTTTGGCAAAGGCACACAGAGTGGCACAGGACACTCTGGACTCCAGGCTGTGACAGCAGGGTCAGGACCAGGACAAGCTGCAGAAAATACTCCCGGGCTGGTGTGTCTGGCCCCTGGGGAGACAGCCTGGGAAGGTCCAAGACCACCCAGAGGAGCCCTGGCCCTGGGTGTATGGCCCAGACGAACTGCAGGCAAGATCAGATTCTCCCTGGCTTCCATCTGTTAGACATTGATCTACAAAACCACCTGGCCCAAGGACTAGACAGAGTCCACTGTGGGGTGACAATGGTCTCTGAATCAAGACTCTGAGATGTCCAACAGCCGTGACAGATTTTAACCCGAGAACTTCCCACTCAAAGGTACACACTGTCCACCAGGCACGCTGCCACCCGTGGGGCAAGGAGGGACGGAGACCGAGAAGGGAGCAAAGTGGAATGAGGCACGACCTGGGAAGCCTCGTGGCTGGGGCCCGCATCGACCAGCACTGGGATGTTCACAGCCGGGCAAGCCACAACAAGGAGGACGGATTTACCTCCCAAAACGTGTCACTCCATAGGACAGCAGAGATGACAGCACTGACACCAATGGAAAGAAAGATTTTTCAGCTAAGATCACAGATGAGGAAGGAAAACACAGACACGGCAATTCCAAGCAATTCCAGGGTTCAAAGGAAGAAACAAGATTCAAAGGAAAAAAATGATCAATACACAGGTGAAAGCAGAGGAGGGAAGCAGAACCAGATGCCAATCAACGGAGGGCGGGGCCTAATGACATGGCAGCCATGGCTGTGGCCCTGGGGGTGAGGGTTGGGCGAGGGGCGCTCTCAGGCCCCAGGGCCTTGGGAGATCTGGGCTTAGAGATCTGAGCCATGGGAAATCTGAAGCCATGCCCAAGCTACCTCGAAGCAGCTGGATGCCAGGAGGTGGGTAATTCACAAGGCACCCCTGGACTGTGGTGAGGGCGAGGGCAGATGTCTACAACCTCAGCTTCCTCCCAGCCAGGAGGGACCGTGGCAGCCTGGGAGCCATGACAGAGATGGACCACTGCGGGGACTTTCGAAGGTGACATTTTTGCAAACGCATAAAAGCAATGAAATTTAAACCAACGTGTTTCCACATCTGAATATGATTCTATCTTTTACTTTTCTCATTTAATTATAAACATTAACACCAGCGTGTATAACAGTGCTCTGGAACTGCATTTGGCCCTTTCTTCTCCTTCATCAGTCACCACACCTCCATACAAGGGGCAGCCCCGTCCCCCATACCCTGGGGACACCAGGTTGAGAAGAGTGTGAGTCCTGACCCCAGTCCTGACCAGGGTGGCGGGGTGGCGAGTGCACAGGTTAACCCCAAGGGGAACCCGGACGAGGCAGAAAAGGCTCTCCCACAGCCCAGGGCAGAAGGTGAGCAGGCCCAAGCGGACCACAACAAAATGTGAAGTCATGGGACATAAAAACAGACGCTGAATTAAAAACCATCTCACTGGCCCTCTTAGACTGTAGAAAGGCTTTGGGGGATGATTTAACTAACCTTCTTTGAAAATGCTGCCCTGCTACAGTATGAAGGGAAAAAACCAATTTGTAAAATAAGCCCACCTTTATCAACAGCTCCGTTTACATGGAAAAGTCTACGACTGCATCTACATTAATCTACACAGAGGAGCATCATC